TGGTATAAATAAATAAACAAACAACTTTTTTTCACCTATCCATTTTTGATTGTTGGGGGCAATATGCTGACTCTCTGTAAACCGCTTAGAGAGGCCTGAAAGGCCTATGAAGCGGTATATAAGTCTACTGCTATTGCTATTGCTATAATAGACATGCCCTTATTTCTGCAGACATATCTGTATGTTTGTGCATATCAGAATGACTGCTCCATAATCTGTACAGATGCAAAAGAAGACAGCATAAACAGACTTTTGCAGTAAAGCTTTTTTCAAAAAAAATATTAGACGTTACATTGGAATGTGTATATATAGGGCTGTACTGCATTTTAATAAGAGAACAGAATGATTTGTACACATTTCATTTTTCTCTGAAGACTAGCAAATTCTTTTTAAAGAATGGTCCCCCCCCCCCCCAATAATTTTTTGATCCATTGAATCTCAAGAGTGGAGCATACTCAAAATTAGATCCTTTGTTATCGACCAGTGAGGGGCCAGAGGTTGATTACCTTTGTTCACTTCTACTAAGATAAAAATCCTACTGAATTCAGTGGTGTTTTCTCCCAATTAAGGATACGGTTCTAAGGATCGAGTTCATCGGATTCATACTCTATACATCAGCTCATTTTAGAGGAATTATGCTGGGTAGAAAAGGGAGAACTGCTCCAATAGTCCATATTGTGTATTACATGTAAAATTCTCTCTCCCATGCCTTGTTCAAGTCTTTTTGTTTTCTTTTTCTGCCTTTTTAGATTCTCCGCAGCATCCTGCTCTTCCCTACGATAGAACGCATGGCACAAACCCCAAATGGCAAGCTCCTGACTCCCCTGTTCTGCTGGCTCCGTTATATTCTCTACATCCCTATATTTTTGTTCACGCTTTTACCAGAAAGAGTCAAAAGCTTTTTTGCCCATTTTGCACTGTTTCGGCAGAAACGGATTCATGAAACTCTAGTGATGACATCTGTGGACATGCTTAACATGGGTTGTATTGGTGAGTAGGACCAGCACATGAGACTTGCTCTCTCTTCTAAATTATCTTATCTAACATGTGTTTTTTTTTAATTGATCAGTCCTCATAAAAGGCAGCTATCATTTTTTTTTAAAAAAAATAATGTATTCAGTAATAATTTGGGGAAAATATTTTTAAAGGTTTGAATGGTAATGACAAGTTTGGCTCTTCGGTTTCTAACAATATTGCATAAGTCAAAGTAAAAATGCCTTTACCCCTCAACAATCAAAAATGGATAGGTGAAAAAAAGTTGTTTGTTTATTTATTTATACCATCAATTACTGAAGCATTTTGGTTGTTTATAATATATGAAATGATCTGCAGTGTTTGGAACTTGTATGGTTGTCGCAGCCTGGGATATGCTGTCTGTCTGTCTGTCTATCATCTATATCTATCTATCATTGTTTATCTATCTATCAATCAATCATTGTCTATTTATCTATCATCTATATCTATCTATCGTCTATCTATCTGTCTGTCTGTCTAGCTAGCTAGCTATTTATATCTATATCTATCTAGCGTGTTTTCCCAAAAATAAGACAGAGTCTTACTTTCTTTTGACCCCCAAAATATTGATTGGGTCTTATTATCGGGAGGTATTGTTTTGGGTTGCCGAGTGGCTGCTCTCTTCAAGCGGGTGCACGAAGAGCCAGGCACAGCCTCAGGGGCAAACGGCTGTGTTGCGCTGTCGCAGCAGCGCAACATACCAGCCATGAGGTAACCACGCTTACGAGCAGTCACCCGGCAACCCCCCTTTCCAGCCAGGCAGAGCACCACTCACGGATCCAGTGATATCCCAAAGGCGCTAAGCCACGTGGTACTCTGCCCTCGACCCCAGTTCCCATGGCTTGACGCATTCTGGGTACTCTTAGATCAATGCATGGCGCTCTGCCCAGCTCGAAAGGGAGGTTGTGCAAGCACTTTTTCCGTCCCCAGCTGGTGTGCCTCCCAATTTCACCATGCCCTGGCCCAGCTCTCCCTGAAGGGTGGCACTCCGAGCATAACCTATTCTTCCGCTTCCAAACTCCAGAGATCCGCAGCTGAGTCTTTAACCACTGAGCCATCATGTCCTCCTCAATCATAGTGAGCATCTATTGATGACAGTGAACATGTATTCTCCTAGTGCCAGTTTAACACCTTAACTACACTGGCTCTTTGATTTTATTTACTGATCTGAATGTCAAGGTTCCGGCTGATGAACCCAACCAAGCCAGCAAAACTGAGATGATCCAATCTCATAATGCCAAACTTTATTGAGTACATCATTTCAGCACTATATGAATGCAAAATCAACTCTACCTAATTCCCACTGTTTTTACATAGTTAAAGAATGGGTTTTTCCCTCCACCCCCATTAGTGCTGGTCACATTATCCAATTAGATGTCCAAGTATTGTTTGGAAAACTGTGCCCCAGGTTTTGGGGGATACTTCTCAAGGAATCTCCTCACTAACCAGACCTCCTTCATATTCTGAGCTTTCACCCACTATGCTTCTGACATTGGGTAATCCCTTCATTGTACTGCAACCGCTCTGGGAGTACACTCTATGGTTGTGGGCTAGCTGAGGTAGAGCATACTCCGAGAGCATACAACCATAGAGCATATTCATAGAGTGGCAACTTCCAGAAGACTTAGCATCCTACCTCCATGCTTTGGAAGCCGCAGAAAAAGCCATGCAGCGGCGGCATAGATACCCTGGTTCTGCAGGGAGAGTTAGGCAAGGGCATCGTGAGGCTGGGAGGTGCACGAGGGGGGAGCAGAAAAGCCCCTCGTGCAACCCCCCTCTCCAGCCATGCAGAGCCCCATTCACTGACCTAGGGCATTCTGAAGATGCCAAGCCACAGGAGCGGGAGAACGGTGAACAGGCGCTCACGCAGCTTGGTGATAGGTCACTAGGTCAGTGAATGCCACTGTGCCTGACTGGAAAGGGGGGTTGCTGGGTGGCTGCTCATGAGCATGATCACCTCATGACTGTTGTGTAGTGCTGCTGCAACAGCGCAACACAGCCGTTTGACCCTGAGGCTGTGCCCGGCTCTGCGGGAGTCTGCTCACAAGAGAGCAACCTCCCGGCAAACCCCCTCTCCAGTTGGGCACAGCACTGCTCACCAACCTAGCGGTATCCTGAAGGCGCCAATCAACGCGAGCCTTTGCTTTCCCCACCCCGTTCCTGTGGCTTGGCGCCTTCGGTATACCGCTAGGTCAGTGAGTGGCGCTCTGCCTGGCTGGAGAGGGGGTTGTCCAGGGGGCTTATTTTAGGGGGAGGGCTTACATTTTTGCCCACCCAAAAAATGTGGCATGGCCTTATTATCAGGACATGTTGTATTTTTGGGGAAACATTGTCTGTCTGTCTGTCTGTCTGTCTGTCTGTCTGTCTGTCTGTCTACCTACCTCCTACCTACCTACCTACCTACCTACCTACCTACCTACCTACCTACCTACCTACCTATCTATCTATCTATCTATCTGTCTATGGGCTATATTG